AGCTCAATGGTTTTTAGTACTTCTTCCAATCAACTTGTGCTCTACAGCATTTTTAGATCTAGATATGTACGTTACTCTATTCGCACTCCCAGACTTGCTTACTGACTTAGGCCTCAGTGTAGTGGTGGATGTTCGTAAGATATTTTGTCTTCAGACATTGGTTTCTTGGTTTCATCTGTTGCTCTTCAGCATACTACCTTTACCTTGTCTAGACTTTCATGTATTTATTCCCGAGTGTATTGACTCGTTCTTGTTCTGACTCCAGCTTAGGGATTCTGTGGTGACTGTTGTCATCCTGCCTTCACTTTTCGTCTTATTCACTGCCTCATTTGTGAGTGCTATATTCTTCACATTTAGGACCTACCTCTCCTGTCTCATTCATAACTGGAGAGGTGTCTCTTTATTATTTGGTGGCTGCCAGCTATTGCTAGTCTCTGGATCCTTTCAATTAGGAGTCCACTTTGTCCAATCTTGAGTTTATCAAGGTTTGTTCGGAGGTTGCCATTGCATTCTCCCGTAGCAGCAACTATTATTGGAATAAGTTCTGCTTCTATTTTACGCTTATTTTTTCAGAGCCATGATTAGGTTATTACCTCTTACGCAGTTTGTCAGATCATCTTCGGGGTGATTTCCATTAACCTCGTATTTCTGACGTTCGCGTTTCTCTTGTATCTGGAGTCTTTTAACCCCAGTTACAGAGATTTCAATAACGAAGATTTTCTTCTTCATCTTCTCTATCCAGACTATGTCTGGCTTGTTATACATCAGCTGGGCTTGTGTCCTAACTGGGAGGTCTACACTGACGTGATATTCCTCATTTTCATAGACTTTAGTCTTTTTGTCAAATATCATCCCGCAGAGCTTGATGATTTCGTGACTTATATATTGGACTATATTGTCATGGCGGGATACCATGAGCAAGTTTCTCCAGAAGCTGCAGCCCGTAAGGATGTGGTCTTCTGTCTCTCTGTATTGGGAGCACTTCCTGCACATGTTGGAGGTCTTCCTAGAGGTCTTGGCTTTGCTGTTCGTAAACAGGTGTCCTTCTTGGCAACCCATTATGATCCTCACAGTTTCTTTGCCTAAGTGTCCTCTTCTCATCCATAGGAAAGAGTCTTTGAGACATATCTCTTCATTTAAGATGCTCGAGGATGTGGTTCTTAGTTTCCATTCCTTCGTCTCATTATCTTTAGCGTCTCTTTTGAGGTCGCTTCTTAATGCTTTTATAGGTTTGTCTACCTTGTCTTTAGCTATGCTTAGGTAGTCTTTGTATAGACTCCTTTTGCTTTGCCTGCCCAGGACTTCTGCCTGAGTTTTTACCAGTTCCAATTCTGGTTTTGTACAGATATATTCCCAATTGCTTAGGATGGTATCTTTCATAACAGTTTCAGCTTTCATAAAGCCTAGTTCACCTTTATCAGTTGGGACAAACTGTCTAGCTACACAGCTTTTATATTCCCGTACCTTATGTTTCCATAAGTCCGCACTTAGGGCGTTATCAATCTCCTTGGCTCTGGCTATTTGTTCTTCTAGCCTGCCCTGATATGTGATCCCACAGTTACTGAGGCATCTAATTTTTCCTATGACCTTCTGGTTATAAGCATCAGTCATTTGTCTGATCGTAAGGTTGCTGGAGAACAAGATGTTTTTCATCTCAGCAGCTTCACTTTTGACTCTGTCCCATAGGCTTTTGCCTAGGTTCACGTCCGACTGTTCTATTCCGAGGTATTTATATTCCTTATCATCTTCCATTACTCGAATCCTGCTTTCGCTTTCATCATTAATGTTGATTCTACGAGTAGCACTCTTGCTCTCGTTTAGTTCTAGACCTAGCTTTCCAGCCTTGTCTATTATTACCTTTATTAGGTTTTGCTCACTTTCTCTAGACGTGGTATAGATCTTAAGATCATGCATGTATAGGGTGTGGCTAACTTTGATCCTATTGGATTCTATGTTTCTCCCTATCATGTTTGTTCGGTAACCCATATTCTGATGGTTTATAGCATCAGACAGGGGTTTGATTGCCAAACAGAAGAGGAGTGGGGATAGTGAGTCTCCTTGGAGAATCCCCCTTTTAACCATTACTTTGGCCGACATCACGCTTTTGCCTCCGTTATCTTTGGAGACATATGTGAGTTGTCCGATTTCTAGGATCCTGTTGACTATCCTTATCATTTCAGCGTTCAGACCTTGATCTACGATCGCGTTTTTTATTGCGACATGTGATAAGGAGTCATACGTCTTCTTCATATCAATCCATGTTATAGACAGTGGTTTCTTATTGAATTTGGCATCATTCGTGATTGCCTGGTCTAGAATATGTGCATGTGCACAGCCTCTTATAACCTTCTTCAGACACATCTGTTCCTCGGGGAGGGTTATTCTCGTCTCCATCAGTTTCTTAACTGTGGATGTTATGACCTTATAGCAAGTGTTTAAACAGGCTATTGGTCTGTACTTGCTCGGGTCAACACCGGCTTCAGCACTTTTTGGTATGAGGAAGACTTTTCCCATACCCATCCATCTAGGGATTTCTGACTTGCCTTTAACTATATTTACAGATAGTTTTGTCATGGCTTCTTTGGCTGTCGGAATGGTCTTCCACCAGAAGGCGTGGATTCCATCCAACCCTGGAGCTTTCCAAGCTTTAATTTCTTTAATGGCTTTAACAGCATTAGTCCTGATCTCAGTGGGGTCCATTCTTGGCCCCTCACAGGTGTTCTTTTCTCTAGGGTTATCAGCTTCAGCTGCTTTCCCAACAATATTGTCCCAGAATCTGGTGGTCTCTTCAATACTAGGTCTTTGGTCTCCGTTAGCTTCTTCGTTTCTGAATAGTGCTTTAGATCCCTTTTTCCTGATATTGACTCTTTTGATCGCAGCTTTGTGCATGTTAAGTTCCTCTCGGTAACTTTTTAGTTTATCCTTTAGGATTTCAATTTGGTCTCATAGGTCACCGAGTGTCTTGAGATTATATTTCTCTTTGATCGTGTTGATCTTAGCTCTCCATCTTCTACCTCTATGTTCAAGATGGTCTATCCTATTTAATTCTCCTACTAGGATACTTATATCTCTGAAGAGCATGTTACGAGTGGCGACAACTGTTTTCACTTGTTCCTTATATTTATCGCTAGTATCCTTAGGGATTACTGTCTTAACAGCTGCATACAGTGCAGCGTTTACTTTATAAAAATCGTCATCTCCTTTCATTAGTTTCCTTACATATAGGTCTGCTAATGCTATTTTCTCCTTTTTGATATTTTTATATCTCGGCAGTGCCATCCTTTCAGGGTTTTGGAGCGCTCTCTTGAAGTTTTGCCCGAGGGCTTTCCAGATTTCTTCTGGTATGAATTCGTTAATACTATTTTCATTTCCTCCGACGTTCGGAACTTCATTTAGTCTTTCGATTAGACTTTCTCGCTCTGGGTCCGTTGACCTCGTATCTCCGGGATTGTTATCCTCGGGTTCTATCACTCCTTCCATCGCCATTGTGGGTGGTTGTGAGTTCTCTAGATCTGGGACTTCAGATTTTTCAGTTTCTACCCCTTCTTCCACTTCTTCCACCACTTCTGCGGTTGGTTGTGGATTGATTTTGGAATACTTTCTATATGCATTTTGGATAGCAAATTTTGTCCTGGATTGATACCCTAGGTTTTTGCTTCCTCACACACTGCTTTCCAATCAACGTTATTTCCTTTTGGATGTCTTGCGACTATCTCAAGGACAGCTCTAATTTCTCCTTGATTCCGGAGTTTACTTCTGGCATTAGCTCTGGTGACTTCCACCGTCAATGCTTGCCCTCCAGAATCTATTTCAATCCTTCCAACCTGCGCTGATAGCATTACACTCTCCTGCTTGCTCTGCACTTCACGAGAACTGGGAGGCCCCATATCTTTGTCGTTGGACCTGGGGGAGCCAACTGGTGGGTGGTTCTCTATACTGACCTTCATCTTAGCCTTATTTTATTTTCACCCCGATAGACCTAGGGCTAACCTAGTGAAACGCATAGGTCGGCGTCTATATTTTTGACCTTAGCAGGTTCTATCTTCAAGAATGAAACAAGTTTTATTCTCTATCAAGAGACCTACTCCTCCCGAGGATTTGGGACACTAAGATGAAATTTTTGAGCTTCCCTTTAGAGATAGCTTAGAGATGATAATTATAGACCCTAAGTATAGAGAGAGTTCTCTCTTATTATTGGGTTTTTCAAAAGTTGTGGCCTCTGTTGGCTTTGAACCTAGGGGTCCGTGTTGTGGCTCACTGTTTTCGCCATTCGGCCACTTTCCTTCTATCTTACACCCCACCTTCAGTAATATTTGGGTCTTTTGGTGCAGGACTTTATCAAAAATCCTGGATAAGGCGTGGTTTGTAACCTTGGCCTTTCTA